CCCCCCCCCCCCCCCCAGCCAACAGCCTGCACCACCTTGCCAGTCAGGTGAATAAGCCACCTCAAAACCAGATCCCCGAGCCCCGGACAAGTGCCCAAAGTGACACTGCGTGGCTCAGACATAAGCCCCTCCATCGGGCCCTGCCCAAGCTGCAGACTGCTGCACAGAAGATCTTAAGAGAATATCTGCTCTTAAGGCACTAGGTTCCAGCGACAGATAATCGACACATGTCTGAGTACTTTATGCCAACTGAGCTGTTTAACTCTCACAACCATCCTACGAATGAGGTACTACTGTTCTACTTCAGACTTGAGGAAACTAAGGTGCAGGAAGGCTCGGTACCTTCCTGAGGTCAAGCAGCGGGTGGCGGGCAGGGCTGGGATACCAAGCTAGGTGACTAGCTCCTAATCGGTACCCTCCAAGCCGCTCGAGGATGAAAACTACAGCAGCAGGTTCCCTCACTAGATGGAGGTACAAGCAGGAGGTAGGACATCTGGCTGCAGCGTGCACTTGACCATTCTGGTCCTTCTACCCAATGCCAACATTCCCCGCCTCCGATCCCAGTGTCTATTTCTGAAAGAACTAAGCCCGAGGCGGAGACGCAAGGAGGTCAAACCGCCTTCCCGGATGCGCTCACGTGCCTCCCACGTAGAAGCCGCGGGCAGGCCGCTGCGTGGTGCTGTGATCTCGCGTGCCTGTCGTCCACGACCTTCACGTGCCACGGCAGGAGCCTGTGCCCGCGACACGGCAGTCCTAGGTGAAACGAGTGACGGGGCCGGCGCGGGGTGGGCGGCGACGAGCTTGCACAGATGGCAGCGGACATCAGCGCCACTCCCCCAGCCGGTGCAAGACTCTGGCATCTGCGAGAATCCCCGCCTCGGAGGCCCCCTGTGCGAGCCTCCCCAGCCCTTCCTCTCTCTCGGGGGGGTCTCAGCAGATGGGTCCAGCTTCCTCCGCCCAGCCGGGAGCTCCCTTAGCCCATTTCTGGTGGGGGAAGGCGCCTGGCCTGCCTCAGTCTCTCCCCTTTGGCCCTCACACTTACACTGCACACCGCTGTGACCAGTCCACGTTTGGAAACTGCCACAGCGTCCCCCAGCGCAGGCACCTCACTCACACCCACGCCGGCGGGTTTTGCCTGGGAGCGGGTGCCCTGCGGCATCCCGAAGCATCCTGCCTTGGCTGCCATTTTCCCCTCGATGCTGCAAACAGCCCCCCTCCGGTCTCTGAAATCCACAGGGACCGCTGGTAAGACACGTGCTCCTCAGCCACAGATCCCACTGAGCTGGCCGGTGTGTGACAGGAGACATGGCACAGGGCTGCAAAGGGCAGAACAAAGACCGGGGAGGGGAGGCCGCAGGGAGGGCCTTTCTGCCAAACAGGGTTGCCCAATGACGCCCTGGGCAGGGGGGTCTTTAACTGTCACGCTTGATTTGCTAAAGTAAGTTAATAAATGCTAGGCTCTATGCTGGGTACATCGCTGTTATTTTATCCCAAATAGGATCTGTAACTTGGAAATAGTTTAGTAAAAAAAAAAAAAAATGGTTTTTTGAGAGAGAGAGAGAACTGCGTGTCGTGCACTGGCCAGTGGGGAGGGCAGAGAAAACCCCAGGCAGGCTCTAGGGTGCCAGCATAGAGCCCGACTCAGGGCTCGACTCCCACGAACCGTGAGATCGTGACCTGAGTCGAAATCAAGAGTCGGATGCCCAACCAACTGGCCCCTTGGGCCACAGTGGCTTTTAAAATCAGCAACTGCGTAGGTTCATCACCGTCTGTTTGATGGGGCGTCGCCAGAGGCTGGAGGGCCAGTGCTGGGCAGGCTGGGCCCTGGGCAGGGGTACCTGGATGGCCCCGGGGGCAGCAAGTGCCCCATCACCACGGGGCCTCGACAAGAGGTTCCACAGCCATCCCACCCCAAACGTGGGGATGTTTCAACAGAAAGGAGGTTCCTCCGGCCCAGTGGCAGATTTGGACTAGCTCCCTCGATTTAGCATCTGTCCACAGGTACAGACACTCGAGGACAGGCAGATAAGGGGCAGGTGGCCTTAAAAAACAGCTCTCAAATTCATGAGCTTCCCATGAGGGCGTGACCCAGCCTGGACCTGAGCGTTTCCCCACCAGCAACTACAAATACTCCTGGCTGCTGGATGGGGTCCTGGCGTCTTTTAGCACCCAGATTCTGCCCCTCTGATGAACCGCAGCCCCACCGGACCTACATAGCCCAGGGCTCAACAACCGCTGCACCCATGTAAACAGTCAAGCCCAGTTCCTGGCCCAGCCCTTCTGAACACCTCGCCGCTGTCCTCCTGACCTGCCATTACTGTCCCCATTTTGGGACAAGACAGCTGAGCAGTGAGTTTGAGGAGGATTGCTGTGGGGTTTCCCAGCATTTTTGGATACTTTCTGTTGCTAATCTCAGAAAGAATGACTGTCAGGTCTGGAATGGTGTAGAGACCACTTAATTCAATGCCCACCTTTCAGGAGGTGTGAGGCAACTGGGGAAACCAGGGATGGGAGAGCCAGAGTCGAGCACTTGGGCTTCCCTAGAGCCTTCTCAGCTTAAACGCTGATCACTCATCCTTCACCAGAGACATGTGGCCCGGGTGTCCGTGCCCACTGGGCACAGGCTGTGAGACCCATCAAAGAGAAGCTGGGCCTCGCTGGGCCATCATTCCGTGTTGGGCTCTTAGGATGCCCAGAAGTGACAGCGGATAGGCAGTCTTGGTGGGGGGTGACAGGAGAATGTTACTGGACCCTGGCAGTGCTGAGCAGACAGCCACACCCATCTGAATGGTGGGAGGCTCCTCGAGAGTCAGGAGGTTCGCCCCTCATATACGCTAAAATTTCATCCTGCTGGTGTCCCACAGTGCCCCTGGCTGTGCCTGGACCATGAGAATCCCACAGCTTACCCCCCTGCCACCCCCTGCCATGGCCCGAACCACCTCTTTCCTTGGGAAGCACAACCCCTTCTGCTGACTGGGCTCCCTACTTCCCACCCTGCCCCTGTCTAGTCTCTACACCGAAGAAGTCCTCTGTGTGTGTGTGTGTGTGTGTGTGTGTGTGTATTTTAAGTAAACTTTATAGTTCAGTATAACAATAATCTTTTAAAAACTTAAACCAGATGGTATCCCTTCTCTGCCCCAAATAGACCACAGCCAGCTCTGAGATTTCTTCCCTGGATTAAAACGGCCTATGAGGCCATGGGTGGTTCAGTTAGTTAAGCATCTGACCCTGGATTTTGGCTCAAGTCACGATCTCATGGTTTGTGAGTTCGAACCCTGAGGTGGGCCCTGTGCTGACAGTGCGGAGCCTGCTTGGGATTCTCTCTCCCCCTCTGCCCCTTGCTCACGCTTCTCTCTCTCAAAAAATAAACTTAAAAACATAAATAAATGAAAGAAAATGGCCTACGAGACCAAGATCTCTCACCCCACCCACCCTCTCGCTCCTCAGGACCTTTGCACTTCCTGTTCCCTCTGTCCTCCCCGGGCTTCTCGCATCTTTGGAAGTCACATCACTGGCACCCCCTGTCCTCATGCTGCTCTGGGCTTCCTGCTGGGGCTGCATCGCCACCCGGCAGGGCATTTATTTACTTGTTGGCCTGTTTAGTGCCTGTTTCCCTGCCTGGAATGGCAGCTCCACGAAGACAGGGACTTTTGTCTTGTGGTGTCCCCAGAACCCAGGACAGTGCTGGGCATGATGTATGAGTGCTCAACAAACATATCCGAAGTGAAGTGAAATGATGCTTTTCCTTGAAGATTCCAGGAAGCAGGGTCCCAGGCCAGTGGCTGGAGGGCAGGGCCCAGGAGGAATGCACAGAGTAGGCTCCCTCAGGAGGGCAGTGGGGGTGCCTGAGGGTATTAAGGGTCACCAACTTGATCTCTCGTGTTTTCTAAAAATCATTCTTGTAAGACTTTGCTGGAGAGTCACTATTTTGTATGAGTAATTCAGGGCAGAACCTTAGAAAGAAAGGGAAAAATGGGACTAGCAGAGCCAAAAAAGAAGTCTCCCCTCCAGGGCGGACTTTGTTCTAACCATTCAACCTGGTGTTTGCGCAACACAGAGAACTTGGCTTGCTTACTAGGTCCCCAAAGGCAAAGCCCCACAGCTCGTTTGTGGCGCTTATACTCGGGGAGGGCTGAAAGGCCCTCGGGGCTGCAGGGCTTTTCAAGAAAGCCATGGGGGATTTCACGGAGCCCCCTTCACACCTGGCTCCAAGGGCTGGGCAGCACATTTAGAGATTATATTAGAGATTACAGAAAGGGCGCAAATGGAAGGCAGGGAGCCTCTGGCTTCTCCTGTTCAGTTTATAAGCAGCCCTCACGCTGAGGGGGCGGCCCTGAGGCCAAGTCCAGAGGGATTTTCAGTGCACCGCACAGCAAATGAGGGCGGGGGGCAGGGGTGGGGTGCTGGGGCACCACGTGGGTCCTAATTCCCTGCCTCCAAATGCTGCTTCCCACTTCCTAGGTTGGAAAAGTGGCCACACAGGGGCGATGGAAATGCTCCAAATCCCAAGTGCTTTATTGCCGCAGCATAAGGCATGCTCAAAGGCTCAGCAGCTTCCGAGAGCGGCAGGACAATTATCGTCCATAAAGGAGAGGAAGGCAGGGGTGCAGGGGGCAGGTGAGCAGCGACAGAGTCGAGGAGGCAGCCAAGCCCGGGGACGCAGACTGTGGGCCTATAGTTCCAACAATGGGGTATCCGGGGGCACAAGGCCCTGCTTGCTGGGGAACAGACACCCCAGTGGGCTTCCTTAGGAAACCGGGAACTGAGAGGTGGTGCAGGGACTCCTAGTTGCCCTGACTGGTCACCGGGGCACGAAGTGCCAGGGATAACGTGTTCCCACGTCCTGGTTAAAGCCTACACACCGTGCCCACTGGGTCTGCCGCAGATCGCCTGCCTGGGGAGCCTCAGGCCCCAGTGGCTGTAAGCAGCCAGCTGCCCTGGCCACCTACTCCTGCCCACCCGGGCCGAATCTGCCCCCACGCCTCCAGGTGAATGCCTGGTGCTCCCGTGAGTGCCCTCTGCAAGAGGAGAGTCCTGGATAACAAAGCAGTCAGGGGGCCTCTCACCACAACACCCCAGGTCCAGCCCAATCCCGGGGGCCGGGATGGCCTCTCACACAGAGGATTATTAGAGACCTCACGAGAATCAACACGTGAGACCTCAGTCTTGGGCACTGGCCTCACCCGGAGCACGGTGGGCTCTTCCTGGAGAGCTGGAAAGGTAAGGTCAAGGCATACCGCAAGGGCCCAGCTGGTGGAGACGAGATGACCTCACCACGGGGCTGTCGGGAATCTGGCCCTCTGCCACCTCCTCCAGGAAGGCGGTGGCTGGCCCTCGCCTCTGCATGTCTGCTTTCCTGGGAGGCGGCTGGGCTGGAAGCGGGAGGGAAGAAGGGGAAAGACACGCAGCAGGTGCAGGAGGGTGGGAGGAGCCTCCACCCTGCCCAGGCCCTCCCAGCAAGCCAGCTTCTCCGTTGGCCCCCAGGAGGTTTCTAGAAGGGCCGGAGGAAGCTGGCCAGGAACATTCTTGGCAAAACCAAGAAGGTCCCATTCTGTGCCTCCGGGGAAAGTTCCCCGAAGGGAAACATTTCGTCCCACACTTCTGCTGCCCTGGGCAGAGAGCTCTCATGCGGAAACCAGGCGGGCGGGCGGCAGCCTCTTCAGGCCAGCAGACCTCAGCCACGGAAGATTTATGCAACACCTGACCCTTAACTACCCTCCCTGAACCTTGGCAATCAGCCCCAGGGAGGTGAACAGAAAATCACTGGCAGGAGGAGGGGAAGGAGCTGAAAGAAAAGGCCCAACGGGCAGGCATTGGGATACGAAACACCAGTAACAAAAAACTGACTCCAAGTAGGAGAGAAGTTCCCCATACAGAGGACAGGCCGACAAGCGAGGATATGACCTGTTTGCACAGATGGTAACGCTTCCTCCACGCTGATGTAACAGGGCCCAGACGCTCCCTGCAAAACAGCTGGCTGCTTTGCATGCAGCCTCTGAAATGACCCTGCGGGGAATCCAAGGTTTCCGTTCGCTGGAGCACAGCGTGCGGCAGCATCCTGGTGGTGCCGGGTAAATAGAAACAGTTTCCATATGCCGCCATAAAGCTGCACCAGGGAGGAGGCGGAAGGAGCCCGCAGGAGGGGAGGGCTTCTATGTCCCAACCCCCACCCAGCAAGGGCAGGGTCGGCACAGGCGGGGTAAAGCCACTGCGACCTTCCTCTGGGGCCTAGACAAAGAGGTCGCCTCTGAGCTCCTGGACGGGAGAGGATGCCAGGCCGTGACCGCTTCCGGGCAGGTTTACACGGGGGAGGGACTCCAGCCCCATTCAATCCTTGCTCCTGTCCCCCCTCCTCTTACATGTCCACAACCTCGCCCATTCTCAAACACACACACCGTCAGCATCCTCTTCGAGATAAAACACCCAGGTTCACTCCCGACGGTGCCCCTCCCCTCCCCCGGTTCACCATCGGAGTCCCCGGAGCCTCAGTTTCTTCAGCCATTAGCTGGGACTGGGGCCAACCGAGCTCCGGGCATCACAGAGACAAATGTGAATACCCACAGAGCACCCGGAGCCCTCCAGAAACCGGTGCCCGCCAGAATGAACAACGAGCAATCGCCCGACCGTTCGCCAGTTGTCGCTGAGAGCCCCACTCCATGGGAAAAAGCTCGAAGAGAAGAGGAAAATAAGCCAGAGTGACACTGATGAGTTTTCCGGGCGTAGCGCTGCCACCCGGCTTCTGCGCTGGCTGGCTCTTCAAAGCCCCCCAGATAAAAATCGAGCAAAAGGCCCGATGCTGCAAGAAAGCAGAGTGCACATCTCCTTTGCTCAGGCCTTCCCTTTCTGCTGACTGGCTGCAAGATGGCGAGGGAGGCAGACCCATGTTGCAGCGCACGCTAGTCGGGACTGCAAACCCGGGCAGGGCCCCGGGCAGATAGACCGACTCCGGAAAGGCAAGAGCTGGCACAGAGCCAGCCTAGCTGAATCACTGGCCTCAAGCCCGAAACCCGTCCTGCCAAAGGCTCAGGCCAGAGGAGGAAAGGGAAAACAAAAGGCTCAACTAGGCCAGTACTATGGGTCATGCACTGTTCTAGAAGGAGAGACCCTGGTTTGGAAGAGGCCAGGGTAATGCCCTGTGCTACCTCTAACTTTGTTTCCGGCCAGCTGACAGGGACCTACGGGATTCCCTGTAATACATGAGCTCAGCACAGAAGGGCCTTGAACTGGCAGGGGAAATGGCTAGAGGGTTGAGAGCAGCGGCTGGGAAACTGAGTGCCTCTTAATACTTTAGGGTAGTGATCACCGCCCCAGGTGCCCACCCTCAACTGGCTACACAGGGCCCCTGGCATCCTGAGGTTGCAAACATGACCTTGACCGCAACTCTCCAGGCTTCATACGTCATGTCGTGATTTGGGGGAGAACGAGGGAGGGTGAAACCTTAAAAGGCTGGCCTTCTTGATACAAACAACTATGGTTTAATTGAAGGACACATTTATGCAGCACCTACTGTATACCAGGCATGGTGCCAGGCGTTGGATTCGAAAAAGTCAAACCCTGTACTATGTCCTCATGAGGCCCACAATCAGGAGGCAAAAGAAGGAAAGTGATCCTGTGCAATAAAGCCATTTCTTACTTACAACAGCCTAGAAAAGGATGTCACAGCTACCTTCCACGGGGGCTAGTGGGCAGAGGCGGGGGCGGGGGGATTCAGGGGTGATGTCTGGGCCACTTCTGAAGGATGAAGGATGAAGGAGGTTCACAAGGTGGATGGGGGTGTGGTGAGGGGAACACTCCAGAAACAGGAAAGGTCATGCATAAAGCTCAGAGAAGCAAACAGCAGGGTGTGTCTGGGAGACCGCAGAGGGTTCAGGGATCTTGAGGCTGACACGGGCAGAGACAAGGGGGGAGCCGCGCGAGGGCCGTCCGCCACATTAGGGAGACGGGACCCGAGCCCCCGGGTCCCAAAGGGAAGCACTCTGACCAGGTGCACCAACCAGAAGTCCGCGGGGAAGCGGCTGTCTTGGGCAGCATCATAACCCCATCTACAAACCAGTGCACGGCGAAACTGCAAGTTCGCTCTCCCAGGGGAGCACAGTGAGAGCACCTGTGTAGGGCAGGTGCCTGGCCAGGAGGCACCAAGCTCACTTCCACCGTCGAAGGCTCCTCACCACCCTGGTCTCGCGACTCCTGCACATCCCCCGCCACCCCTCCTGCCAAGGCAGAGAGAGAACTGTGGCCGCCGGACGCCCGCAGGTAATCTCTTGGGGAGGCAGGATGGCATTCCTCCTTCCTCCGTCCGTGAACTTCAAGACTTGGCTTGCAATTCTACTCCCTGCCCCTGTGTCACTGGCTTCATTGAAACGAAGGGCTTTCGCCGGAACGGATCACTCACCGAAAAGTACTTACTGAGCACCTACCATGCACAAAGTGCTTCAGGTGCCTTGAAAAGAAATGTTGTAAGGTCTGTGCACACGTCAAAGGCCCCTCGCTTCACACACACACACACACACACACACACACACACACACACACAGTCTGCAAGCCCCACTGTTTACCCAACGAGGAGTGCAGCACCTGTGCGAACATCTGTCCTGCATTCACTCAGAAGCATCAGAAATGCTAATTGTGAACTGCACAGGGACAGGGAAGGAGCTGTGGAAGAACAAATGGGGATGAGAGGCATTTTTCACTGCACGCTGGCACCCCCGGAGCCCCTGCAAGAGGCCAACAGACAAGTGGCGCGCGGGGGATGAGTCTGGCTGTGAGACCCACTCTCCGCATCAGCTGACGGTCGGCTCAGCACAGATCAGAGGTCTGCACCAGCCCCTGCCCAGGAGCACCCAGGGGGCTGGCTGGACCCGGCCTGCACAAACCCTGGCCTCACCCCAGCATCTGGATCATCTGTGGCTGCCGGCAGTTTTGCTCAGAAGAGTGAGGCGGCCGGGGGCACAGGCCCGCTGGGGAGGTGACAGCGGTTGGAAGGCGACAGCCTGCAGAGAGCTTGAGCCCTGAGGCGTGCCACTGTCCAGGGGCCCGGGCTTGTCTGGCTACTGCTGCTCCCAGAGGACTGTGAGAGCCTGCACCGTCCGTGGGCAGCCCCTGTGCTCAGCCTCTGCTTCCTGTTTTCCTCAGTCTCCCTTCCTGCCACGTGGGGAAGCAGCCAAAAAGAAGCATCACAGACAAACATACAATGGCGGGGCACGTGCATGACACAGTCAGTCAAGCGTCCGGCTCTTGGTTTTGGCTCAGGTCACGATCTCACTGTTCACGAGTTCGAGCCCCATGTCGGGCTCTGCACCGACAGCGCGAAGCCTGCTTGGGATCTCTCTCCCTCTCTCTCTCTCTCTCTCTCTGTGCCCCTCCCCTGCTCATGTCCTCCCTCTCTTTCACTCTCTCTCTCAAAATAAATAAAGAAACTTTAAAAGTATATATTAGAAAAAGGAAGAAACATACAAGGGCAACCAAGAAGCCAAGCTAACAAGTAGCAAGAGACAGAGCTGCTTGAATTAAATTATCCCTGCAGCGCGCCCAGGATGGTGGTCAAGGGTGTAAACGTATTATTCCCCCGTTTACCATGGGTACCATGGGTAAGAAAGCGCAAACAAACCAGCTAACGTTCCTTAAGAGGAAGGCAGAGATTTTAATAAGAGAAGACCACGTTCGAGCTCTCAGTCCAGAGTCCTTCAGCTGCCTACTCAGGGCTCAGGAAGGGGCAACATGGCTACTGTGTTGAAACTGAAACCCTGATACTTTATTATGACTTAGGGCTTCCACTCACCGAGTTGGTCCTAGGAGATGTCGTGTGGAATTTCCCACTTAATCTTTACGTCCACCCTGAATGCAGTTATTCTTATCCCCCCTTCTACAGGAGGAGAAGAAAGTGAGGGAGAAAGTGGTGAAGTTCCTCATCAGAGTCTCCAAGGCCACCAGCAGGCGATGCCAGAATTTCAACCCCATCCTTTGCTATAGACTGAGACGCTCTGAAGAAACAGTAGACGGGACATGTGCCAGCAGATAAGATCGCCCACCCAACACACACACATTTCTAGCGACCTGCGAGTTCTCCAGGCCACCCCCCTCTCCAGACTGGTGAGTCTCTGTGTACCTTGGGCCAGTGTTTGATCTCTAAACCGAAACAGCACAAAATAACCTACAATAACACCAAACGGGGCAACTGGCCTGGAGGCGGAGTGGACTTTGGTACCGATCGGATCTGAGCCCTGTCGAGGCGACCAGACTGGCCCCGGGGTGCACCATAAAAGCTGTGATTGCAGACGACAAGGCAAGCCAGCCAAGTGCGAACAGCCGAGCCCGCAAGAAGAGGGCACCCTCGAGAGTCACAGAGA